TACCATGCATGACTGGAGCAACCCGAGGTCTACACAGCTTTGTACCACCTGGTGTGTGTCAGCCTCCTCTTTAAACTGTGGGCTCCCTGAACCCAGAAGCAGAGGACCCGGGACCCTGGCCCTGAGCAGGGGCCACGATTGTTAGAGGAATACCCCACTGGCATCTCTCAGCACCTCACTATGCCAAAAGGTGCCTGGGGTTGTTACAGAGCAGTGGTCACGTGCACACTCCGCACCCTGAGGAAGCACCGCTCAGCCCCTTCTGCATGGAACCGTGCTGCGGTGGAGGCAGAGGTCAGGAGAGGGAGGCTAGGCCAAGCTCGGAACCAGTGGAGGCCCCAGGACTCAGATTTGTGTCAGATACCACTGATGGGCTATGTATGTCTGCAATATAAGGGACTCAACCAATATTATAGTAGTATTTATCATTATTCATTATTATGGCAAATTACTAAGTAACAAATGCAACCATTCATGATTTCTGGAATAATCCCCATTTCTCAAGGGCCCACCATAAAACCAGATACTTTACAGGATCTTACTGGACCCTGTGAACACCCCTATAGACGGTTACTCCACTCCCCTCCTCCCAGATGAGGAACCTACACCCAGAGACATTTGGAAACTTACTCGGGGTCACTTAGCCGGTCTGCACCAGAGTTGAGGAGCTCCGCATTTCCCACACCCTAGAGGCCTGGATGGGCTTCTCCTAACGACTACTAGCAACGGCTGTCTGGCGTCTGGCCCAGCCCTTTTCAGAACAGCTTCACTGAGACACAGTTCGCACCCGCTCCAATTCTCCACTTAAAGTCTGCCCTGTGCTGGTTTCCCACACATGCACAGTTGTGCAGCCACCACTATAACCAGGTTTACAGCCTTTGCTCCAATGCAGTGCCATTTTCAAGACAAAAGGACTGCAGCTCAGAGGGCTCCTGGGACTTGGTCAGTGGTCAGAGGCAAGGCTGGGATTTGCCTTCCCCAACCTCTTCCTGCCGTCTGCCAGGGACTAGTAAGAGTAACCCGTCAAAAATGCAGGATCTGCAGAGAGTGGAAAACGGAACCAGATGTGACAAATCTTACACGTGTGGCAGCTTCTGCGCCAGGCCCTGACTCACAGAAGCACTGAAGGCAAAGGAGGAGCCCAGCGCAGCCAAGCCCCCCTCAGCCCAGCACCACACGTCACAAAAAGGACATCAAGGCCCAGGACCCAGGAAGGCAGAGATGACTGGCCTTCACCTCCTTGGAGGGAAAGCCCTACGGGAGGCTGGTGGCCAGGGCCTTGCACAGACGCAGTGAGTCCTCAGCCCCATGGAGAAGTGGGGACCCCACTCTGCTGATCCTGTATCCCACAACCCTTGCAGGATTCACGAAGAACTGGTCCCACCCAGGCCTCCATCCAGATTCCTCCCAGGTGCAGAGCATTAGTGGCTCTGAAGAGTGTCCCACTGAGAGGTCAGTGCTGCCTCCCGGACACATTTCCAGTCCGAGACCCTTGGGTGTGACAGTCCCAAGCCAGCTGCTCCCGGCACCAGAGAAAACACCGTGTAGGCGGGACAGAGGACCCCAGGACCAACATACCCCTTATTTCCTGCCCCAAACATCCTCCACACTGGCCAGGTCAGTTGTGCTATCTGCTGGCCGGAGGCCTGGCACTTGCATTCCTGCTTATGATGTTTGAACAGTCTTGAGCCAGTCCCACCTCCTCAGGGAAGCCTGTCCGGCTCTGGCACTGGAGCTTATTTTTGAATTGAAGCTTATTTCTGAAGCCAGGCCCTGTAAACCTACAACTTGCTCCTTCCCTGGTTGGTACCAGGCCCTAGCTCCATGCCAGGCCTGGGCTGGACTGGGCAACAAGGTCACAGAAGAGCCAGACCAGTCACTGAGCACCTTCCTCATAGCCCAACAAACCTTCAGTTACAAGACGCTCTGAAGACTCCAATCCAACTCCCCTCGGGCCCCTACCCCCACCCCATGTGGACAGACTTGCTGCCTTTTTTCCTATCCCCAACTCTGGCCAGAAGTGCGATGTCTAACAGGGCCCCTCAGGCCTAATTTGCAACTGGAACCTACAATGGGGACAGTGACCTTGATACTCTGCACTCCTTCTGCCACCCCACAGAGCAGCTGACTGGGCACCTGGGACAGACCCTGGACACTGCAGTTAATTCCCATCTAACGCGGGGATGTTAGACACTCAGACACCTTATCTTATTGGTGCTACTGTCATCTTCCTATGATTTCCCAGCGGACCTTGCCCATGGCCAGTGCTCAGTGCATACTTTTTTAAGTAACTTTGGAATGAATGACACTGGTATTTGAGATCCTTGAGGAATTGAGGAAATGGGGTTAAAATCTAGAGACCACATAAGAGTAGAGTTAAACCTTATCATCAGAAATGCTGCAGCGTGGCTTCTGAGTCCAAAGGTGAGCTCCTCTGGGTGACATGCAATGGCCCCTTGCCCTCTCACGACGCAGGGCACTTCCTGGCTGGGCTAGGAGTGAGGAAACCTTGCCTGGAGAGGCCTCTGGGTAGGCCTCAGACAGTGTGCTGAGTGTCCCAGGGGACAGGCAGCCAGAGAGTGCCACCCTGGCCTGGAGGGGGAGGGCATCTGGACCCTGGACTTCAGAACTGTCCTCTGGAGACAGCTGAGGACCCTAGTAGTGCCCTGGTGCTGAGCAGTGGCCCAACCTGAGGTTTATTACAGTGAAGTCCATTTTTGTCCCTAGCCAAGAGCTGGGGAACTCACAAGCTTGTCCAGGAGCCTCAGCTCTGTGCAGGATGCAGAACAACACTCCGGAGGCCCATTGACAGACAGCCGCTAAGACCTGACCCAGCTGCAGCACATGCCACCCAGAATCCACTCCCATCTTCCAGGGACCCTCGAGGCCACACAGCTCATGAAAATAAGAGAGGCCACCAAAAGTCAACAACATCATCCCAGGCATGCCTGGCCACAGGGCCTCCAAACAGCCCCACCTCCGCCATCACCAGCCCCAGCAACTACAGCATAACTTGTCACCCAGGGCACTGCACAATGCAGCCACAGGATCATGGCTCATGGGCCCCCGGGTCAGGGTCGTTTATGGAAACTACCTGCTCCCTGCAGCATCTACAGGTAGCAGTCAGTCAACTTGTCAAGACTGCTGACCGGTTCAATGACAAGGGAAGTTTCAGGGACGTTTTAATGGTGATGGTCCCCCATGCACACCTTCTTTGAGAACCCCAGCATACACTGATTTAGCATCTCCCCCATGCCTCACCTAGGAGGGCAGCCAGGGAAATGGAGGAAGAGTTCATCATGCCACTGAGCTGAGTCTCAGTTTGCACCAGCATTTTCCGACTGTCCATCTGCACAGACACTGCATCCCTGATGATTCCTTACATCACTTGGGATTTTCAACCAAAACTTGGGGGCACAGCACGGCTCTAGCCAGAGAACTGCAGGGCCAGGAGAGGCAGGCAGTAAGCCTTCCCTGGAGTCCAGGCAAGGTCTGAGACTTCTCTCCCTGAATCTGCAGGTTGGGTTCCTCAAAGTCTGTGTATGGAAACCTTGCCACAGATCACCTGGAGGGTCTAGTGGATGATGCACATGCTAGGACCTTCCTCGGAGAGACAGCTTCTGAGAGGGTTCCTGGGTAATTCTAGTGAACACTCCATTTTGAGGGCCAGACACTGCCTAAACCACAGCTCTCAGTGGTGGCCCTACTGCTTACAGCGGCATAAAAACTTGAAGAAAGTTAAAAAAAATTAATCTTTTTATAGATAAAGGCAAGATATCCACACAGTATATCAAGATAGCATGGGTATTAGTGTGCCTGGGGTTGGCATACATGATACACTATGGGGAGTATAATCATGGGGGAGGGTGACGGGGGGAAACAGTGTGTAGCATGGTTTCTCAGGGGGCTGATATTGAAAAAGGCTGAGAAGCATGGGCCACCATGATATGTGACAGGAAGATACCCATAAGGCTAGGAAGATGGGGAAGAACGCTCTCAGCATTCCCCCTTCCTCCCTGTCCAAGTCCCACTATCACAAACCTAAAGGGTACAGAGAGAAAAGAAGCTCCCTCGTGGGACCTATCGGCTCATGCCTGATGTCACTACCAAAGTAGACTGTGGGAAGAGCCTCCCCACAGGCCCTGAGCAGCCATCCAAGCTCTCAAAGGGAGCAGCAGGGGAAGTGAGAGTCAGCACCTGCTGACAGTGAGACAGATGCCATTCACAGCTGCCTGGTCTGCAACAGGGAGCCAACCCTCCAAGGCCTCTCAAGGCCTGGGAGGACAGTGAGGGTCCTAGGAGAGAGGGCTTTGTGAGGCAGACAGGGGAGAGTGGGCTGACTTTGGGAGGAAAGACAGGTAAAAGATGAATAAGAGGAAGGACGTAAGGTGACAACAGCAGTAACAATATCAGCAGCTAACACTGGCTGAGCCTGGATCACACACCAGTCATCCCCAAGCACCGCTAGTGAGGTGGGTCACAGAGTATGACCAGTCTGTCGGCTCCGTGAGGCCAGGGACCATGTCTGCCTCAGGGACTCCCATGTCTTCCACATCCAGAACAGCAAGTGTGTGCACAATGATTGAGCCCCCACTTTATGGATAAGGGTTAACTTACCCAAATCATTATGGCCAGCAAGTGGCACAGCCATAATTTGACACCCAGTTGTCAAAACTCCAGAGCCTGCCTTCCTCAGCCTTGAGTTTGTCACATCCCAGCCAAGTAGCTCGCAGTCTGGATGTCTCTGGACAGTGAGGGGACGTGAAAGATAAAGGTGCCAACCCAACTCAGCCACTTCACATCTGGCAGGGCGTGAGCCTGGTGGCCAGAGAGGGCATGTGGTGCCCTCTGAAGGCAGCACAGCCCCCAGCTGGGCCCACACTCACACTGTGCCTATAGGAATCCCAAGCCCAGGGGAACTAAGGGAAACCACGTGAACCAGGGGCTGGGGGTGGGTGGTCACAGCTCAACAAGAGTGAGAGTTAAGTAGTGTCCCTTACCAATCCATCACAGTTGCTGATGGCAACAGCGGCCCCTGGCATTCCTGTGACACCGCCAGTGTATACACACTCCTGCTGCAAGGGATGCCGCAACAGCTCCTGAAAATCCTCCTGCCACTCCACTGAGGCTCCTGGCACCACCAGCCTCCGGTTGGGCCGAAGGCGCAAATGCAGCTCCTTCCCAAAAACGGTCACATTGAAGTAGAGGAAGTAACGCTGTGCCTCACCAGGTGGCAAAGTCCCTCTGTCTGGGCTCAGAGGGCTGCGAGCCACCCGGAGGTGCCTGGAGTGCAGTGGTGGGATGGGTGTCCTGTCCACTACCACACTCCCTGCAGATGCTTCCGCTGAACCAGACACTACATGGGAGAGGAAGCGTCCCTGAAAATCTGTGCTGCAGGGCACGGTCACAGCATAGTCACTGAGCTTTCCAGAGAGGCGCGGCTCTGTTGGAGGGAAACAAAAAAGTCACTTTAATGTGCAGAGGTAAGGGGACATTGGAAATCCCAAAGGGCAGGCAGGGAAGGCCAACCCTGAGTATCCTCTTATGGACCACTTAGTCCAAGTTCATCCATTTTCCACTCTTTGCTTCCTGAGCTCCTAGATCTCTACATTTGGAAAAATGATGATCGGGTACTTTGCAGACATAAATCACTCCCTGTTGCCTGCCCTCAGGTCCTTTTCTAATTTAGCAGAAGGAAACAAATGATGCCAAACAGAATCCTATCACTCTAGCAACAGGCCCTCCAACCTTGGGCACTGCCTAGGAAAGGACTGAATTCTCCGAAATCCCCCAGGGCACAAGAGGGAAAGCCAGATCTGCCCAAACTCCCCAGTGAGCTGAAGTCACCAGCCGAGCCTAGGGCAGGGCCCTCCTCACCAAGCTCCCAAGCATGCAGCTGGCAAAACAAACACACCTAGAAACCCCGGGGATGGCAGGATGATGTCAAGGGGAAAGGTGGGGCTGGAGAGGAGAGGGAGGGAATAGTGGTTCTCTTTTCCAAGGTTAGAAAGAGAACTTTTTTAAGCAGCACGGTGGCTGCTGAGATCTTTGCATGGCCCAGCCCCAAGTAGGATAAATTTAGATTTTCAAAAATAAAAGGAGACACAGGGGTGACCTGCCCACTTGGGCTGAATTAAGTGTGAGGTCATGGCCCATGCTTCAGGCCACATGCCAATGGCCCCATCCTCACTGCTCTCTGTGTGCCCAGCCGGGCCAGGCCGAAATGACAGCTCCCTGGCTGCCAGGCCTGGTGATTCATGGATGTAAGTCTGGGAGGAATTTTCATTTCCACTCAGCAGCATCTGTCACCTACCCAATTCACAGAGCTGATAAAACAGAAAACGATGTGTCCTGAAAAGCTCCCAGGCCCAAGGCAGTTACACCGGCCGGGCGATGTTCCTGTCTAGCCTCACCTATAACAGCAGAGGACCCCAAGACTGCTACAAGAGGGATCCCACTCTGGCACATGAACCCCGCTGGGAAATGGCCAGAACCTCCTGTCCATGCTCAAAGCCATCAGGGAAGCCCAGGCTGGAAGGTGAGGGGAGTAGGGGAGTATCTTCCTCCGCCTGAGATGCTGGGGGCGGGGACGACAACAAAGCCCTGAGGGCGTTTCTGAGCAGACGCGTGCGTGCACCCAGGGGTCCGCCTTGGGAGGCAGTCACATGCCGGCCGGCTTCTGTGTGTGACCACGGGACACACAAGTGCACACGCTCCCATACGTATGAACACAGGCTGCAGGCTGAGCCGACACTGAACGAGAAAGACTCAGGGGAGAAAGAGACAGAGGAACACGGAGGGACAGATAATACAGCCCCCAAGAAGAGACTGAAGTGCACAGATCCCCTCCTGGGTTCTCTCTACCCCCAGTGACAGGGAGGGAAAGGAATCACAGGCAAGCAGAGACAGCAGCTCGGACCCCAACCGAGCGCATCTCCTCCCACCGGCTTGAACTTTGCCCAGGTGGATCGGGGGCCCTAAAACCACCCTGACCACGTGCACCTCGGACCCCACGAGTCCCCGCGCGCCCGACCCGCACGCACCTGGGGTCTGGCTGCCCGCGGCGGCGCACAGCGCACAGGGCAGCAGGTAGGACAGCAGCGCGCGGAGCGGGGCCATGTGGCCGCGGGGACGCGGGCCGGGCAGGCTCGAGTGCCGAGCCACGAACAAGGCTGGGGCGCACCCCGGGCCGCCCGAGCACCGCCGGCCTCCGCTCCTCCCCGTTGCAGCCCCTCGCACTGCGCCGAGCCGCTGCCTGCACCGCTGGCTCCAAGCGCCCGAAGCTCCGACGCGCCAAAGCCCGCGGGGCCAGCTGCCGGCCGGTCCGCCCGCGCCGTGACGCTCAGGACGCGGCAGGCGCTGAGCGAGGGGGCGGCGGGGCGGTCCAGGG